TTAAAAAATTATCTGCCTTATTTCGAGAAATTATGTGCGGTTTATCGGGAGAGATATGTTATTTTGAGTTATAATAAAGTGTTATTTTCGGTACCAAGTAAAACGTATTTTAAATAAACAAAATTATAAATAGCAATCACCATCAAGCATTAAACTATGTTTTAGAGCATTTTGTATAACGTATACAGAATGGGATTAAAAATGTCCTAATATACAGGTATGACAAATCTTAAAAATAATATTTCCCTCTAGAATAACTATTGATACTTCTATGTTCAAATTTTGTTTTGATTTTGCATACCAATTTGAGCTTTTTTTTTTTTTTTGCTGCTTTTGTAATAAATAATGTGTTTTTTTTAACGTCTTCTAAACTCTTCAAAACTTTCCTTTCATTTGAGTGTTTCAATAAAATGCTGTCGCATTTACATTCCGAAGTTCCATCATCACTAAATTCACTTCCATAACTAGTAATTAACTATCCTCTGCCGTAAATGATAAAATCTATAAACAATTTCTACCTCTACTTGGGGGCGGCGCAATGGTGTGCTTATAAGCTGAAATAATAATATGCAATAAAAGCTGAAATGAAATGTGGAAAGCACATATACTTACTTCCCTATGGAAATGATTAGTCTTTCTTTGTGAATGATAAATTGTGAAAATAAGCGTAATATTTTAAATACATTGCCATCACTTTATCGTGATCAGCTTCTTCACTTCAGCGAAAGATTCCGGTACTACCAGATATTTGGTGTAAGAGGTAAGGAATGAGAGCGAGGTAATAAGTGAGAAAAGGCGTCTCTCGGGTCCTCCAAATCACATATATATTTTACATAGGACACAATTTTCAACAACGTTAAGAACTCCTGAAAATCGAATATATGATTTATTTGATAAACGGAGAAAAAAGTCTAGAAGGACCAGGGCATTTTCGAGTGACAACGGAGACGATATAGTTGTGAAAGGTACACAGGGCGCGTTTATTAGGTGTTTGCCATACTCTAATTTTTTGCAAAATCAGTGGTTAGAAATGAAAACAAATCTTAAAGAGGAACGAAATGACTCCTTTATAATAATTATGAAATTTATCTTTGGTTAATTGTCAACAAAATTAAATTCGAGCGAGTTAGAATTGTTTAGATGGAAATGAAGTTTCGGCACTGGAAGATGCATTTGCGAGAACTGGGGTTTGGGCTACAACCTGCCTTCTGGATAACATTGCGCCATTTTTCCTATTTTATTTTAAATCAGATTTCTGGTGAATTGGTGATTTTATTTTAAATCAGACTTCGGTGAAAAAATAATCCAATTCTGCAGCTTTTTTTTATTTAAAAAATATTTTAATGTGAATCTAATCAATTCCTTATATTATTATCGAAAAGATAAATTATTTCACATGTATAATAATACTCTTTCCTTCTCGGTGGTACATTTTACGTGGATAAAATAGCGAATTTTCTAATTTATTAATTTTTCGGGTTATATTTTTCGGTTTAAATTTAACGAACAATGAAAAAAATTAATTTTTTGTGAATTTTTTAATTTATTGATGAATTGGTTTATTACGGCTAATCTAGGCATAACAGTTATTAAATTAAACAAACAAACAAATCTGAAAGCTTTCAGACGTTACGCCCAAAGGAGTGTTTCTTTAACGTTTTATGTGTTACCTTTATTTATTAGATATCGTGTTCTTTGCACTTAAACGATAAAATTAAATTCAACAGCAATAATATCGCAAAATAATTTTAAAATCAGCAAAGCTTTAGAATTTCCCATACACAATCTCGCGCGCTGGAGATAAAAATGTTTTTTTTCTCGTACAGTGCTGCCATTGCTCGCTTTGAAATCATTGAGTTTGTTAATAAAAAATTTTGTTAAAGTGTTACAAAATATGAAATCGATAATAAAACAAATTTCAAATTCCAATTTCGGGCTTCTAGATGCTCACATTCGGGTCTAGACGTACGTTATTCAAAATTTAATGGTTCTAGGTATCGTTGCTTCACCACAATGCGAAAAACATACATGCATTTATGTAGATTCTTCATTATTTAATTTCTTCAAATATAATATACAGGGAGATAATATTTGGTGGCAACAATTTGAAAAGTAAACCGACCTTTATAGTGAACTAACGCAAAATGCCAAAACGAAATTAATAGTCCTTCAGCGCAAATTGCCCCTCTGGACTGATAAATTATATTAAACAAAAAAAGTTTTTTAACACTTTGGTATCGTGACTAGAATGTAAACCTGAGTTTTAACACAATGCTAACAGATTTGATGTATTTCTAGCCGCATAGCCGCAATCTGAGAAAAAAAATATTTGGGATGGAAAAAAAAATTGTGTTCCTTCTGAAGAAAGATTAATTTTTTTCACATAAAGAATTTGAATTTGATTTGACAGCTAGGATCAGTACCTCAAAAGGTCTTCGTAATCAACAGACATTATATAGAAAAGAAATAGAAATAGAGACGAAAAATGTGGTTAAATAGATGGCGGTTTTGGTAGCAAATATCTAATGTTATTATTTAAGAATATATTTCTGGTCGTTTACTTTATGTTTATTAAATCTTCTTACGCCTGATGTCAGCGGAGAAGAAAATGAGGCTGCAAATGTAGAATGACAAATGAATGAAACATGACGTACAAAGTCCCTTACTTACGTCTCAAATAAAATCTTTAAATTGCACGGTTAAGTGCTGCCTAATCCTGAAATTCTGTGATTCAGGATTATTATACTAATTTATAAAAGAACGTTGCTAAATTTCATATAGAAATAAAATTAGGTTAAAATCTTTGCATTTCTGAAATTTTATTTTAATTGAATTTGTCTTTTATTTATTTCTGAAGGAAAAATTATGTCAGCTTAAAGTTTCACATACAGTCAAACAAAATTTTTAAAGGAATAAATAATTTGTAGATAAATTCATATTATATGTACACCAGCGCATAATGATATTACATTTTACATTTACAAGCGTAATAAGCCCTTATGGAATTTTGAGCTTTTTAAATACCTACACCGCATTTATATTCAAATTATTTATATTCAAGCAAAAGGTATTATACTGTTTTCAAAAGCTATTATGCAGTTCTTTAGAAATAACAAAACTCAAAATGTCTCTACATTTTTTTTTCAGAACATAGAGAGAGAGTATGCATATTTTAACTTGAAAAAAGCTATAATACACTACAACGTCAAGAGGAAGCTTGTCTGATATTATGGAACTCAAGTGAAGCGAAACATTTAAATGAAATATCTATATACAGTATAGCTCATAAATTAAGTTAAAAAAGGAAACCCGGTTACTTCAGAATCAGGAGCTTTAATGACTTCAACTTTGCTGACTTAGTTTTTAGAGTGCTTCCCCCAGAAGTAGTTTCCTTGCACAGGAGAAACTAGGCTAAGGTTCATTAGAATGTTGAAAAGGAATTAGCTAAAGTAAAAAATTCGAGGCTATTTTCTTCCGGGCAACGTTAAATTATGCATCAGAGTAATTCGAAATTTCAGAATAAGATTTTACTGAGATAAAAGGAAAGGAAAAAGGAAATTCGAGTTGAGAATTTAGAAAAGAAAAGTGAGTACGTAAAAAATGCAATGCAATTTGTGTTATTTTTAATCTTTCGAATATTTAATTTGAGAAGTCTTTTTTTGAAATGAGTTAGATGCAATTATACTTCTAATGCCATATTTGAATGCTAAATATTTCTAAAAAGTTCTTTAAAATTTTCTATGTGGTTTGGAGAATTTTCCTCTCGAATAATTATTTGTAAATTAATTTATACTTGTAAATATTATTGATTCTGTATTCACGAATTTTAAATTTCTCTCATTCTCACGTCTGGTTTACTGCAAATGACATATAGTCTACCGCTCTCTTCATCATCCTTTTTACTAGTTATTAACCTCTCATTTTCTTATATATCTACTAGCCGCTATGCGGCTAGCCTTCGTCTGGCTTTTAAACGTACCGAAAAGATGCCTAAAAGACACACCTGGGACCGATGGCCGCGTAAGTTCTTCAAACTTGTTTCTCTTTGTTAAGATTCCAACCCTCCCTTGCATACGGCCCTGATGTATCTTCAGAAAAACATATACATATTGAATTTTTAGCAAACTCATTGCATGAGATGTGCATTAAACATTTGTTAAAGCATAATTTATATCCCCCTTCTTAACCACCACCATAAGTACATAAAAAATTATGTAACTATTCTACAATAAAATTAAATCGTTTTAAACAGTTTCTTACTCGATAGTTTGAAAGATTTTTTCCTGAAATATAGAAATTTTATATGATACTATAGGAATTTTCTGAGAAAATGTGTCAGCAGTCACATCGCAGCCATTTAACTTGTAAAGCAAAGTCTTTGAGCTTCGTTTCAGGCATAGGATGATTTTAAGCAAGCATTTTATAAAGTGTTTCTTAACGATAGTTTGAATAATTCTTTTTCTGAAATTTTGAAATGTTATGATACTTTAGGTAATCTTCCGAGAAAATGTGTCAGTAGTCACATCGCAGTCATTTAATTTGTAAAGCAATGTCTTTGAGCTTCGTTTCAGACATAGGATGATTTTAAGCAAATATTTTATAAAGTCTTACAGTGAGTTAATTTATTGCTATCCTTGAAGTGCTTCTGAATACACAATATTAAATGTTTTCCCATTGGGAGCAAAGATATAAAGATTATCCTTTCTTCCCACTCTAGAACTCTAGGCCAACATATAACTGGCCATGTGAAAAACAGGGACTTTGTAGGTTTAGCCCAACAACCTTTAAACAAAGCCCAACAACCTTGTGCCTTGTTTATACTTATTGCAAAACTTAAAGATATTGGGAACTGAAGCCGTTTAAAATGAAATGGTACATCAGATGGTATAATGGGAATTCTTGGGATGAACATGTCTTTTCCTTTTGCATGACCAGTTAAAGTAGTCGCTTCAATAACATTTTTATGAGCTTCTTGACAGATAATCTTACATTACAAAGAATTACAAAGAATCCAAATTTCTAAACAGCATTATAGGTGCACCAACTTTCAACTCCAGAATAAGCGAAGGTACTCCAGTCAGTTCCAACGAATTCAAAAATTCAATTGGGTAATTTACAGCCTCATCTATAGAACACATAGTATCAACTGACTTGTAAATTTTAACACTGCCTGGCAACTGTCCTAAAAGTTGTTTATTAACGGCTCTCACTGTATCATTTTTTGGTGCAAGAATGGAACTTTCACATAACCAGCTGCGATCAGTGAAGTGCTGTCTTAAGTTAGGAAATATTGCAAGCAAAAGGTCTTGGTGGCTTTTCACGATGTTTCCAATACATTCCAGTGATATGCATCCATCTTTTTTATCTGGAGTGAAGAATGCATTTCCTAGTTTCAGCAAATTCTTGAGCCGTAGTATCTCTATTAATCTGAACTCTCATATTAGTCCTAAGACGAAGTCTGTGAATTTCATTCCAAATATATGAGGATTATAAGCATGCATGCATTTGATCAGCTCGTGTCCCCCGTGGAACAACGGGTAGTATCTGTCGAAAGATCTCAGGCAGTCCGGCAATGTCCCATTATGTCTCAGGTCTTGCAAAGTAACATCAAGGGCTTCGAAACGCAGCTTTATAAGACACTGGTACATTCATCCCACACAATTAACTTAGCACTCTTGTAGAACTTTTGCTTTGGCAGAGATCTTCTAGAAATATTAAATGTTGGTGTTTCGGTATTTTCCAGATTAATGGCAATTTAAATGCTGAATGAACGTTCTTCCCCATAGCATGTAGCAGCAATTCCGGATGATGCAACAGCCAGCGCAATGTGTTTCTTAACTCGTACTTTTGCCAGTATAAGATTAATGAGGAATGTTTTCCCAGTACCACCTGGTGCATCAATAAAAAAATACCACCATCCTGATTAGAAACCGCGGTCACAATGGTTTCAAATACTTTCTTTTGATCTGGAACCAATTTATTTTCATGTTCTAAGCATTTTGTAAGTTTTTGCAAATTGTAGCTCATTTCATGACAAATTTCACTGTGCATTGCCGATTCAACATTTCGCTTTGGTTCAGATAACCCGAATGACTGCAAGTTTTGTCCACCTAAGAAGCAAATTTTGTCCTCAATCATGATAGGAGCTCTGTTGTAAATTTCTTCATTATAAGCGGAATTCATATTATTCTGCTGAAGTCTTTATTGATGCAGGTAAGTCTTCAGATAGGCTATTCTTATGATATGACCCCAACTGATGACGATTTCACATGGCACATAACAACAAACAACAAACAGAGATTTCGCAGCATTCTTGGGGATCAAGCCACAGTAGCTTCTTCCAATGTTGCATTCCAGTGTTCATCATTTTCCAAAAGTCCTCTAACTTGGCAAGCTTCTTTATAAGTTTTGCATAGTCTTCCTTCCACTGTTCCCAATTCTTGAAATGACTTGAGGTTTGAACTTCATACAACAACAATCTCAGGTGAAAACATTTTGAGTTGTTTGGATGTACGGTATACACTCGTCCGAGAGCGTCACTCTACTTGATTCCAGGATGATCAGGTACATTGTTTCCAATTTTACGCCTGTTCCATTTCTTGTTTACATTGTCCCATGTATAGTATTTTGGCACTTGATGATACAGTAATGTACGTGCAAACTCATCTTCAATACAAATGCGGAAGAAAGAGGTCAAAGCTGTTTCTTGAGGAGCCTGAGCCAGTTCAATTGCATTAGCAGAAGTGAAATATGCTCGTTGTCCATTCTCAAGGTGGACACTTAAATGAATAACAATCGGATAACGCTCGTGAATCGGAAAGTTCAGAGTTCTCCCCACAGACTCATTGCTACTGATATATATCTTCCCATTCCATATTGGTGAACTTCATTTATTTGATTTCCAAAAGTCCTTACATCAAAAACAGCCATGTCAGATCCTTTGTTTACATATTTACAGACATACTTTATGGACTTCACTGTATTACAGTATTCAACGTTTACATGAGCATTGACAATTTTTGAGAGAAGCGGACAATAGGGAAGAATCCATCTATTGTCCACCAACACTTCTCACCTTCGAACATTGATGTTTGCAGTAAATTCCCCGTCTTCTGGCTGTCTCCGACGATAAAGTGGGTATCCATCTTCTCCTTTCTGTGTTTCTCTCAGAAAATTACGTGGGTATCTTTTAGTACGTTTTCTATTCGTCATGCATGGAGAATGAGGATTGACACACGGGTATTATTTTTATATTAAAGCAAATAATGCAAACATTTTGAAAACTTATTGTGTTATAGTTCAACGCTTTGCAACTTATAATTCAATTATAGAACAACATGATTTAATCATACCTTATAGTTTACAAACTGTAGTCTCTTATTTTCTATCATGTAATTTCGACTATCCTATAATATTGCAAGGATATGAAATTAATTAAGATTCCCCGTGAGTCCATATATATTAATGGCTACGAAATGAAATGTCTTAACCAAATATATCAATTATTATATTACGTTAGATAACATAAAAGCACAATGTAGCTTTGACTTAATTCACATTTCCAAAATGTCGAACTATAAAAATGTAATTATTTGCATTCTAGATGTAAGAAGTTGTTTGAAATTCCTTTTCAATTCCTGTAGTTAATGGTATTAAAAAAGAAAAATGGCCATCTATATCAAAATAAAGAACTAAAATTTTATAAATTTATAATTCCATTGCCTGTAACTATAATTTACTTTAATTACCGTAAACTATTATATTTCGGTTCGCACCTGCGTTGTGAAAGGGAAGTAAAATTTAAAAGCTCTAATGAACCTTCTGTAATTTCGTAACCAGGTAATCCACACAATGATTACGTTTCTCAAATAATTTTAGACTCATGAAAACCCATAATTAAAGCAGAGCTTAATTCCATTCTGAGAGATCATCTTAATTTCTTTACTGTAGTCTTAATTGCAAATATGCAAATTTTGTTATTTGCTTACCGTTTTATGGTGTTCCAGAGAGTTGTTAAAGAAAATATTTATAATTTTGCTAATGAATAACACACAACGGCATAAATAATTTATGTAGAGTGCATTTTGGGCTAATGTATGGGCATCTGATGGTTGGAAAACAGTAGATGTTTCGAATAATTATTGAAGCACTCTCTTATTTGCTTAAAACCTCAAATGAGTTACTTCTCGTTTCTTTTTATTAATGTGAAAAAAACTGTAATTAAGATTTTTTTAATTATGTAAATTTCATGCGAAAAGGAAAATATTTGAAAGACTCATACCATGTGGACGTTATTTTTTCAAATATGCAGTTGTATTTTAAATAAAATTTTGGATTTAAAACGCTAATACTGTTGATGAGATGCATAAACACATTTTAATTTTCAACTGAATTATTGAATTTAATTCCAGGCGTGCATGGTAAATCTGAATCTGCTCATATTATTTTTATCATATTCTATGATGCTGCCCACTTACTAAAGGATACCCACTTAATTTTGCTCGAAGATTTAGTTCCAAACAGTAAGCTAAATCTGCTGTCTGTGACAAGGCATTTGTAAACTATGAAGTTAAATGCAATTCTTGTAAAAATGTCTAAGAATGGAATTTAATATCAAATATATTATTTGTAACTGTTCATCAGCCTCTTTTACTAAGTTACAAAATGTAATAAATTCCAAATTTAAAACTTCCATTTTCTAAAACAGTTAAACGTACGCTTAATGCTCTCTTGCATGTAGAAAATACTTTATGCAATGCTATAAATATCAAATTTATTTGAATTTGAATCAAAATTTTGCATTATCAGCAGTAATGTGAGCCAGTTTTAGAAATTTCAAGTTCTGTTTGCAATTAAACATCAGTATTTTGTTTGAAAAATAAATTCAATGATGTACAGTTTATAAAATGTTTTAGAGCAGTCATGGTCAATAAATGCTATGAAATTAAAGGACTTTCTAAGGTCAATAAAACTGTATCAAGGGATACCAAAGCATGGTTTTTACTTTCAGAAATGAAGAATAGTGAAATGTCAATACCGGGGGATTTTGGAATATTATAATAAAATTAAAGTTATGATTCCATTACACCTTACTCAGATGTCAATTAAAGCAATTCAAGTTTCTTTTATAATTAATGTAATTAAGTTCTTAGCCATTTGACATGCTTTTTAATACGAATAGTAATTCAGTAGTTCTTATCAGAAATTTACACTAGCTAACTGTAAATTCACTATCATCACTGATTTTGTAACTCTGAGAATATTTAGAAATAATGTATCAATTAATCTGTTTCTGGTTTGTTTTTTGGTTTATTTAATTATGACAAAGCACCCACAAGCTATCAGATAGCCTGTCGGTGCCTTCATGGAGGATTTTCTAAGGAAACTAGCTCGTACACATGTTACATGTGGTAAAAGCCACGAAACTCCCACATGTAGGTGTGCCGTTCGCCGGGATTCAATTCCAGGAGCAAAGTATCAGTGTTCAGCGACTTTACCATCCGACCTCGGGTGCGCATACTATCTCTTTCTGGATTTCAATCTGATAACCTTTAAGGTGGTTCTGGATTTCGATCTGATAATCTTTAAATCGCACTACCTTGAAAGGTTTTCATTGAATTAGCCTGTTTAAATTAATCAATGGTTTAAAGTGTGCTTACTCTCATTCTTTTTCTTTTATCTCAAACCTTTCAAAAATATACACATTAGGAAAATATATGAGTAGAAGATTAATAATTAGGTCCATCAAAGACTTTGATTATTGTTCGAGCAAACAATACGAGTTAGTGTGTGAAAGCGTACGAATCTTGGGTAGAGGGAATTTAAATGTTTCTAGTACGACTTGGTTCATGTAGGGGATATTTTTAAAATAGTCACTTAGTTCGTTAGATAAGAAATTTAGAAATAAAATATGATGTAAACATTTAAGCTGGTTTATTTTAGTTCTGCAATTTCAAATGAATAATTGACCTATATTGGCTTTTCTTGTTTGGTCCGTAATGTCATCTATAATTCTATAAGTTCTAGATAAAATTTTCCAAGTATGCTTTCAGACTAAGTTTTTATTTCTTCAAAACTGACAGTTTTTAGCCTGTCTATAATCTCTAGGTTTTACCTTTCAATAAGATTATAATTTTAACTTTCAGATTGAGATTTGGTTTAAATTCTGGATAAGGTACCTACCACAATTTTACTTGAAATAAGAAATAATTTAACTTAATTTAAATAATTCTGTTTCGTATCTTTTGTATCATTTTATATATCATGGTAAACAACGAAAAAATATTAAAAAGCAGTACATTATTGATTTAAAGAAATGCAGAAAGACGGCAAAACGATTAATTAACTAAATTAATCTTAAGAATGCTGTCCAAAATTCATTCTACCTTAGTTTTGGAAACATTTTGCGATTTTGAAAGCTATGTCCATTATTAAAGAGAGCAGTAACAACTCGGACTAAATTTGAGTTAGATTTTGAAATATACCTCACTTACATTTGGGCAACTTTAAGTCACTCGGTGACTCAAGTCTTGAATCAGAAAGAGCGTGGATAATTTAAATAAAAGCAGTGCTTAAAAACTAGATTTAAAAACTGACCATATTAATAATTAATATAATATTAATGTCAGGCTTGTTGTTGAATTATATTCAGCGAGATGAAATGTGGAAACATTTTATGATAGCAAAAAAACGAAACGAATTTAATTATGATGTTTCAAATATATTCTAGTTATATTGATACGAGTTAAGTCATATCTAAAAATTAAGTCACGCAATAAGGGCGTTTTTATCATGGTGTTATCTGGAATTAATCGACTTCGCAAAGTGCAGTTGACTGTAAAAATGTAGGAAAAATATCAAGACTTACTACAAAATGAATTATTGCCTTCCATCATTTTGCTGAAGACAGAAAAATTATTTTTCATCAGGACCACGCACTAATGGGTATCCATGGTTACAGACAGTAGTTCTAGGACTTCATTTAATAAAATGAATGAAGCACTGATATGGCAAGCAAAATTCAGCAAAAATAAAATACAATTTAAATCCCATTGAGAATGCTTACGGCTTCACCATGGCAAATGTTTGTTTACTACTAAAAGACACGATATTTAGTAATATAAAGAAAAATCATGATTTATATGATTCATAATTTCATCTTCAATTCGATAATAATAATAATAATAATATACGCAGGTATATACATAAATTGTTACATATATACGTACGTATTTATGTCCGTACATAATAACGCAGATATATACATATCTGCTATACGTACGAATGGAAATATGAATATATCCATACACCTCATCAATGGTCGGTAGATCAATCCGCTTTAGGTTCGATCCCAGGCGAATGGGCTAGCTACATGGTTCTTTTTCGAGTTTTTCCAATGTGTAGCGTTAAGTTCATACATGTTCCCTTCAGAAAGTCCTATGCGAAGGCATCCCTTTTTTTAGGCAGATAACCCTCATGGTTTTGCCGTATTCATATAAGTTAACCTAACATAAATATGTACGCACTTATGTATATATATATATATGTAAGATAAAAATATATGAATCAAAATTATAGTTTAAACTATAAACATTAATTCTTCCTCTCTATTCTAAAATCGTAATAACTTCTCTGCATTGCGTCATTTCCAGATCACTCTATGGCCCGCGCAGCTCTGATGACGTAATAATTGGGAACTGAAATTGCCAAATTGCAACCAAAACTTTTCTCTTCGCGTGCCTCCATCTTGCATAACTACGCACTTCAGCTTTTGCTCGCTACTGTGCTAAGATGTGATTTCGCTGGCTTGATTTCTATCCCAATAATATCAAAAATGTAAATCTTCTGTGGAAGGCACGACTAGAGTGCCAAGTGATTGTGGCCACAAATATCAATTGGAAATAAAAATGGAAAAAAATTAAATCGCTTCTACTGCCAAGTTTTATTTACGAAGTCAACACATTAGCTTACGACGCAATCAGATTACTTCCTCTTCAATATAGGATAACTACGCATCTACAGTGTTCTGTCTTTTCTTTTCCTTGTGCTTTTATTATGACAATTAAGCCGGTAGGATAGTTTCCTGCAGCCTGAAACCTCAATGGAAAATTTAGTTCTGCTCTTCCAATCATCGTTTTGTGATAAATCCAAGATAATGTGAAAGAAGTGAATAATCAAATTTGTTTTTTCAGTGTTTAAAAAATAACAGATCA